CGTTCAAACTATGTTTCCCCTTGCTTATCCGACTCATACGAGCGGGTCCCTTTGGCTTGACCATGGTGGAAGATCACAATAACACAAAATGAAGCAATAATCAGTAGTATCTGCTGGATAGTTCCCCCAATTAATTCAACTTCCTATATCCATGCACGTCCATGTGATTGCAACATCAATCTCCCTTATTAGTAGATTATAGGTTCGATAATTTTAGTATATTGAATCAAACAATACAAATGTTACTCAAAATAACACCGACATATTCAAATACACCTTTGTTAATTGGCCTTTAAAACGAAGTATCTTCTTAACGTAGATTAGTAAAATCATTTTCTGAATTGTGAGCTGCAAATACAATAATAGTTTCTACTCCCATATTGCTTTGCTGCTTCCGCTGTTGACGTCGGGCTCGAAAATCAAATTGTATTTTTCTTCGCTCAGTAATTGTACGAAAGAAGTGTTATGAAAACCCTGAAAAGAAAGTTTCCACGAACGACAGTCAGGACGTCCATGCGTAAAATGATGTCAGAGAAAGCCGGCGCTCCCATACATTTGAACAAGAATGTTGAATTATTGGTAAGGACAGTGCCGTTTAGAAGAACGTAAATTATAAACAACGTTCCGATAGTGTCGAATCCCCGGTCTATGCGACTTCTCAGGACTGTGGGGGCCGAATGATCAACGGAAGGAGGCCAACCTACAGGACTGTACTCAGGGCTAGGTAGTGGCAAAATCTATACGCATATTTATACCAAAGTACCATTTCATCACTGTTTATTCCAAATAAAACAGTTACCGTATTTGCTCTATTAGAAGAGCATCTCCAGTAGAAGCACATGTAAGCCAATTCACTGATGAATGTACACCCTCTTCTATTCTGTGTTAAATCTTTGTTTAAATGTTGATTGCCTTGTTTAATTGCCAGGCTGATATATGTATGGATCTGACTGTGGTGGAGATATTCGCTCATAAGTATACCAAATCGGAAAAATATTACCGATATTTATACCTATCTTGACCAGAAATAAGACAATACTTATACCTAAAACCCAAAAAACGAGACCCATTTCAGGGGCACATCCCCATTAGGCAAGTTCTATGAAAATTCATTGTCTATTCTTGTTTGTGATTGATCCTGGGGATCGTGACGTAGCTCTGTCTTTTGGAATAGGTTGTACTTAGGTTGTAGTGAGAATTGCATCTTATGACATCAGTTTACAGTATAGGTACAGGTATTTAGAAGCTAACCTGACAAAATATTTCTCCTAGACATACCTCATGTACATGAAATTTATACAGAGGCTGGCAGAAAAGACAGACGAGGTTGCGCGTGAGAATAAAGAGACTGTTATTACAGAAGAACATGTGAACAAAGTCATGAAGGTATGTATGCATAACAGTTTCAGTGGATTATTTGTGGGAAAGTGTAAAGATATTGAATTAGATGTTCTTGACTTGATTACCCCTGTTTCCCTTCTACTGAAAATAGACTACAGTGCATTTGGTATAGGATTTCTGTTCCACCCACTATAAATTTGGCATAAATCGACCTTTATTTTTTGACAAATAACCAATCATGTAAGACATGATGTTAGTCACTTGAATAATTGATAAATTACATGCCCATATTTGTCTATTGAATGATTCAAACGCCATAGAATCATGTAGGCATTTGGTCTTGTTGTTACATTTTCTAAGTCGCAGTGAATAAATATACAATTACTGTAGCTGTGTTGAGATTGTTGTCAGTAGATACGGTAGATAAAACTCTTTTAAACCAGAATCTTGTGAGTAAATATTATTCATTGGCTCCTTATCAGTGATAGGATGTTTTCTAATCAGCAGACGAATGAACTTCCCCCAGATGGCAAAACATACATTTCTAGAATACCCGACAGACATTCAAAATGAAAACGAACTTTCCACCCTGCTAATATTAAACTTTCCGCTCATTGTGTGGTACATGTATGTATATATGCGTTTGAATGAGTGACGTAAATATATAATTTACTCTTGAAAAATGTGACCAATCAACGTGCCATGTTCAATTTCACAGCACAGATTAATCATATACTAGAGTCTATTTCCAGTAGCGAAGCAGAAAAAAGTAGAGGAAGCTGGTGTATGACTTGATGTTCAATGACAAGGAATTACAAATTTATATATACAATGTAGTAAAATCTGTGTGTGTGTGATGTGTTGACTCAGGAACACACAAAACATCAAAGAAACAAGAGAGCTTTCAAGTTTAACTTCTTGTTTATTCCGCCATTCTCAGTTACACCAACGACGCACTTTTTACATATCAACACACTTGATCAGGTGATCAGGTGACATATCACACCATTACAAAAGTATGTATTCTGACGCATGCAATAAAGTAGTCCCAAAAATGTCAGTGTGTTTACCAAGGTAATGAATTGTCCCACATAGAACTGTATGTGGACATGAATTCTTTCAAGTACTCTAAAATCATTTATTTTCACTGAATTTCAGTGAAATTAAAAACTATTGAATAATTGTTCTTTATCCTCACAGGGAGTCCTGAAGAGTTGTCAAGGATGAGTGACACATGAGACAGGCTGTCAGGAATCCAACAGAACATTGTACATATGGGTCAGGCTGTCAAGAATCCAACAGAACATTGTACATATGGACTTTTCCAAAACAATTCAAGATGTAAAACAATAAGCCACACTCTCTACTGCCTTTGTTGTGGTTGAAGGATTATATTTTTTCATTTACAGTTTTAAACTTTACTTCTTTGAGTACTGAACATAAAGATTTGTTTTTATTAAGTTTTATCATTCAGTGATGTAGATTTGTTTTCACGGAACTGGAAAAAATGGAAATGTAGGTGATCCCTTAAAAGTACCCAGTATTCTTAGTAGGTGGTTGTTTTGACTAGCTACCAACTCTTTTTAACATCATTGAGCATAGCAAACACTAAAATAATACTGTAAATCTTTTATGTCATTGATTTGAATACCTTGTGACTCTTGTGTCTTTAAAGTGTGGTGGTCGTCGCGCCGCACCGCGCATATATGACATTTGTGTTGATAAACATTGATTTTCTCGTGATTCAATGATTCTTGTAATGAAAACTTGACCCAAGTGTAACATGCACTAATTAGCACCTGTGACTTCTTCGATACCATCCATTCACCAAAGAAATTACCTAGTTAAAGCATGTTAATGTCTCAGTTTTTACTCGTTGGTCTGCACTAGTCGAAATCTCCGTCTTTGTTCATGTGAGTACCATATCTCAAGCATGCGTGGTGCCTTTTAAGTTCCCTGTAGAATATTCATTTACATGAAATTAAAGCAATTTACCATAATTGAAATATTGTCTTTCTTAGTATAATACTTCATTTTCCCCATTCATGTGATTTTAAAAACATAAGTACCGGTAGAATATTCATTAAATGCAGAAAATTGGAGATTATCTCACAAAATGCAAAAAACTGAGTGAGACAGCCATTTTAGCGATATTTTGGTAAACGTATGTGACCAATTTAAAATGTTATGGTGCTTGATCAATGTTTTTAGAGAATTGTTGATTTACATTGCAGCACGTTTATAGAGTTTTATCAAAGGGGAGTGGCTGAGAAGTATGTATACGACTTCATGCCCCTGTCGATACCTCAAGTCAGACCGAAAAAACACAATAGAATTTTTGGGAGCTATCCAACAACCTGTGACTGTACCATGGTTACATATTTAAGTTGGGAGAGAAAAACAGAGAAATGTTGACAGCGTTTTGCATCTCTGGTTTACTTCCCGCTATCTGACATTGCTGGGTCCTTATGCAATTTACTTAATTATGACCAAAAGTGTATTTATATTCAGCAATTGGTTATGTTGCCAATGCACAGTGCTGAAAGAAAGTTCATAAATACAAAAGATGTAATTTACACTTCATAATTTGCTCATGAATAATTTAATGCTTAACATTGATACTTCCCCCCCCCCCAGAAACCTCCATCATAATACAATAGCCCACTCGATAAAGGCTCAAGCTGCTGTGGTAATGGGAGTCTTTGCAGTTACCCTGCCTGTATGTATGTGTGTGTCCTCCGTTCCACTGATATCTCAAGAACCGTATTTTGGTTTTTAATGAAACTTGGTGTATACCGTAGATGCTCTGGGCTAATGCGCAGATTTGATTAGGTTTTGGTTGAATTCCATGCATATTAATTACCTGATTTGCATGATAATTAGCTAATCTTTAGCTGTTCCTTGACTCTTCCACTGATATCTAAAGAGCAATTCATTAGATTTTGATGAAACTTTGCACACAGATGCTCCAAACTAATGCGCAGATTTGATTAGTTTTGGGTAAAAATCCATGCTTATAATTAACCTAATTTGCATAATTAATAAATTTTCAGCTTTTGATATTTCAAGTACTATTACTTTTCAATGAAACTTGTTACATAGATGCTCTGGAACAATCCAAAGACCTGATTAATTTTAAGTAAAAATGTATATTAATCAACTAATTTGCATAATTAGTTAATTTTTGGCGTTTACACTGATATCGCAAGTACTAATTATCCCATTTCAATGAATCTTGGTACATAGATTTTCTAGGACTATACACAGACCTGATTAGTTTTGGGTTAAAATCAGTGCATATTAATTACCTAATTTGCATAATTAACCAATTTTCAGCTTTTATACTAATATCACATGTACCGGTACTAATTATTCCATTTCAATGAAACTTGGTACATTGATGTCCCAGAACAATGCACAGACCTACTCAGTTTTGATTTATAATCAGATCATATTAATTACCTAATTTGCATAATAAATCATAATTTTGGTTATCACATTTAAATGAAACTTCGTACATGATCTAATTAGTTTTAGGTTTATATACATCTATAATAATTACCTAATAATTTATTTTCCACTAATTTAATCATCACATTATAATGAAACTTTGTAAATGTGCACCCTGAAACAATATAAATCTATGCATAGTAATTGCTTAATTTGTATAATAATTCATTTGGTTCATTGAGGTAATCCAGACATGATTAGTTTAATGTTTATAAACATGCATATTGATTATCTATTATTAGCCCATTTAAAAAAAATCAGATTTAAATTGAATTCATCACAGAGGTGCTCTGGAATAAATTATACTAAAGACCATGGATGAAAAATCAAATGTATTTACTGTATGTATTATAAATCTTGATAATGGAATCACATTTTTCTCATGTTATGCATCTCAAATAGCAGACAAAAATTAGTTGCCAAGCTTCTCGTTTGAAAAGCAAATCTTAAATTTTGAATTAATTTGAATGCGTCTCCAATATTAATATTCTCAGCACACGGGAGTTCTTTCTAGGCTTTCTTTGATTTTAATATATGGAGAAGAACTCTATCTTTTCAACTCCAAATGTTTTGTAACGAAAGCTGCTCAGTCCAAACCAAGATGCAAGGTCTGATTTACATTAGTGATTAACAGTTACAGTGACCCCTCGCTAATTCACAGGTGTCGGGATCCAAGCAAAAACTGCAACTCACCTGGGGTCAAGACTTACGGAGGGACATCGTGAAATGGGATTCAATAGAGAAAAAGCACATTTACACACATGGGTTTATTTATAGTATGTTTTCTTCATGAAAACATCACAGCTTTATTGATGTCATTATTGTCAGATTTTACACAGTTTCTGTTCAATCTCCTCTTGGTCAACTTCGAAAAATAAATTTTCTCAGCTATTCATTCTTTACCCATGAATAGTGGACTCTCCAATTGCTAGATCACCTGTAACCCTTGACTTGCTTTTATTTTTTGTGACAGTCAAATGCTGCGAGTTTTTATTGTACGAACAGACTCGGTAGTTTTCTCAATGCTGCTCAGTTGACAACTAGAGATCAGAGTGATGATTCATCTTGATGTAGCGAGCTATATGGAGCTATATCAAGGGGGGGGGGGGGGGTATGCAAATATGTTCCTGTTGACTCATTCACTCAGGCCGCTGTCACCCTTTGTATCTTAGTAATTGATGGACAGTAGGTGTTAAGTTGGCCTCCAGCCCTTTAATGGCCGAATAAATACACGATGCAATGAAACATTAGTTATTTCACTTTGAACCTGTCAGCAATTTATTTGGGAGCCATTCAACTACCCGCAACTTTGCTGAAACAATGTAGATAAGACAATGTCGGTTTAAAAAATATATGTCAGTTATCTGAAGCAATTGCACTTGGCGTATGAATACACTGTGGCCAGTTTGCAATTAGCGTAAAAACAAAAATAAACTAATAGCAAGAACAATAAGTCACATGATCAAATGTGGTATAAATATTTATGGACAAGACAACGTATAATTTTTAGTTTGGAAATCCCAGACAAAGTTACCAATTCTCGCCAGATGGCATCAACATTCATTTGAGAGAATTACTCTGAATGCTTTTTCTCATCACAATTCGATGTTAATTGAAATTGCAACATAATAAAATGGCAGCCATTTCTACAAAGAACTTTGTTATGAAAATGTATAAACTCAGAAAGTAAAAGTAAGTTTGTATTTATTCCTTAAATACATGTACAAACAATCTCTGGTATCTCAAATAGTGTCTACGTTTTGCTGGAAAAGAAGGGTTGCAAAAATACAGAAAAGATGATGAGGCAAAGTATAAGTATAACCATTTTTCTGTCAACTCGCCAAATTATGAAAATAAATTTGCCCAATTGACACCAGTGTACCCGGTTATTATATTAATTTGCATAATTATATAATTGTCTATAGTTCAGTTAAAAGTCAATACATTACAAACGACTGAAAACATTTTTTCAAATATACATATTTGTAGTGTAGCCTCCCTGTGCAATCAAATTCACCGATGGTAATCAACAATAACCCCCCCCCCCCCAAAAAAAAAAACTGCTTTTGTTGCAATGATGCATGTACATTTTTTGTGAAAGGTGACATAAGGCTCAAAGGATTTATCTTCAATTGTTTTATGAAGAACAATCCAATTCTTGACACTAAGCTTGGTTGTTTAAGCTGATAAATCTCTCTATGAATATTACAGTTTAGTAATCTATATGTATACCAATACATAGTTACCTAAAAAAAATACACTGGAGTAGGTCACATGACCAAGAATAATTTTAAAAACAAAATGTGATGGTTTTTATGGGGCTATTGATGCAGACGCTGATTGGCTGAATGCTTCGTAGATATTAGCAGCAAAGTCTTTCACTGGCTGTAGCAGCAAGAGTTCCTGAAAAAAAAAAAATGTTCTGAAGTGATTCATGGTTATGGGATTTAAATTAAAATATTGTAAAATACGCTGCTGAAAGAAATTTTTGGGTGTTTTGTATGGAATTTATTTTCACTGATTTTTGATGAGTTGAATGTAAAATATAGAAAAAAAAGGTATATTCGCTGGATTTTATTTTCACTGAATCATCCCTTCAACAAAAATAAAGTATTTTACAGTACATGATTATTACATATGATCTGTAAATGTTTTATCATGTTCATGATATTATTGAACACCAAGCTATACGTCTGTCTGCAAGACTCAAAATTGAGACAGGCCATGAAGGCTAGTAGATGCCCCAGCTAGTGCTCTTAAAAACAGACATTTCAGTCACAATGACAGTTTTAAAATTTTTATCATGACATTTTTTGATCATGAAATTTATTGTGTGTGTTCTGAACACTAAAAGTTCAAGCCCAGCTGTGCTTGTTTACAATGCACTGGTTAATATTCAACATGTTAAATGTAACGAATCTCATGGTTGGTCAAGACTATGTAACACATCTTGTATTTACCGGTAGTCAAAAATCATAGATGGCGCCCTCTGTGACATATGTATGTTATACTATTTGTTTTTCACCAGAAGTACAAATATTACTAATGATTTACTGTTTGAGGTGCAAACAATATTATTTGTTTGCTGGAATTTTATGCATACTAACTCATACTGTGGTTTATTAATGCTAATTATTTTACGTGAGAAAAAAAGGTTTTATTAAGTTGTTGACGCCAACAGTATCCTTACCTGTACAAAATGGTTTGGTGTGTCACTGCATATGGAATGTATCTGTCCATTCATCACTGGAATTATTTTAGCTAACGGTATATTCAAGTATTGGAGGCTGAATAGAGAAAAAAGATGCATTTATCTTTTTCATTCTATGAATATTTGAAGGATTGTGGTCTTTGTGCTATGCATATGCAAGATTTATCTTACAATTCAATGCACTCTCACAGTGGCAAACATGGATGTGAATATTGATCAGAACACAACATGCACTGAATACAGACTTTGGCATCCTAGAGACTTTTGCTGCTTTCCAAGTTAAAACTTAGTAGTCTGACCTCGTCTTTTGAAAATAGCCTGGAAGCTAAATATGACTTGAACGCATTAGCGTCAGTGATTAGGTAAAATTGTATGGATTGGGAGAGTGATAGCTCTTCTAGGTCATGATTTGGGTGAGTGATAGGTGAGTGGTGTGATCACTGTTTTTAGAATGTAAGATCTGGGTAGTGTCTCATTTTTTGTATCTATTAATCTGCATAACAATTGAGCATGCACAGCGTGATGACCACTGCCCTCACAGTCTAAAGTATGTCAATCAAGATACTGCAAATGCAAAAGTGGGTGTTAATTAAAATTAGTTCTCAGTGTAATTTAATATGATCTTATTGTTGACATGATCTATATCCACTATGAGCACATGGAAAAAACACCCCATTTTGAAAACTTTGCTTTTACAACCCAGTAAACAAGTCTATGATTGGCTGGCTAGTTAGCTGTCAAGCATGGGTAACCAATCAGGAATGATCTTCTTTCTAGCCATTTTCTGCTTATTGCTTTTTCTACACAGATATGACATGTGACTTATAACTCGTATTTTAATCAAAACACTAACTTATTTTCATTTGTTACATCCACTGGATTATAAAACTGTTGAATGTTGTCTTCAAGTCGGTTAAACCCAGTTTTCAAGCACAGGTTGATAATATTGGAACAATCATCACTAGAAATGAGAAAAAAATATTGTAAAATCAACTGCGTATCAAATAATTTGTGCTGAAAATAGATTTCTGTAAAATAATATAACATAATACACACTTTACAAATATATGTAAGGACACTAGCAAATACAATCAAGATGAACACAAATATATTTTTTCATTACCAGACTTTCTCTCCCAAATTTGTCTGCATTTTGTTCTTATATTCTTCAATATTTGTAAAGAAATGAACTCTAATTTTGGAGCCAACAGACAAAATTTTGGCTTTTTTTCCCGCAATTTTCTGAAGGAAAGGTAGGACTATAAATGGGACTACCGGTATTGTGTGAATTTGTGATGACAAGAGGGAACTGGTGGTGAAAAGATCATAGGCTGAAATTGCAAGATAGAATCTGCATCACATATCACGACAGTCATATCCACATCTTATAAATGATTGGTTATAGCCATCAACATTTCTGTTTCAGTGTGAGGGAAATTTGAGCATGTGATAGATGTTTAGTGATAGAGAAATTTCTGTATCGTCAAGGAAACACACCTTTCTAACATATCCTTTGTTTCTATCATTAACTGGTGAATGATTCCATTTTCTTGCATCACAGTGGCCTCACTGGGTAACATATATTTACAAAGACTGTGTGCACTATCTATATAAAATAAATTACAATTAAAATCCATAAATCTACAGCAATGCAACAGATTCATAAATACAAAAAGACTAAAAAGAATATGACCAATATAGATTATATTGTATATTTAATGGTCATCGTCATTGGCAACTGTTAATTTCTTTTTCAAATTTATGCACACCTGTTGCTATATGTCTGCCCAATAATGCATAGCTACAATGCTAGTAATATCCTATCCTATTCAACTATTGACTTGATTTGATTGGTTGAAGGAAATTACCATTTATGTCTAGGTACATTGCTAGTAATATCTCATCACATTCAGTGGAGAAATGTCTAGTGAGTGAACACTGCATAGATTATAGGCATTACTGTAATGTATAGTTAGTGGAATGCTAAAGATTCTAGGCATTATAGTAGCAGGAGTCAGTAGAGTAGCATATAGTGAGTGGAACACTGCATAAAATCTAGAATAGTCAATCATTAACAGCAACTGAGAGGTATATACCATATTTGCTCTATTAAAATCACACATCTAATAGAAGCGCAGGCAAAGCCAAAATACTGTTTTGTTTTTTGTTTGGAAAACACCACTCACAAAATTAACAAGAAATTATAGCATAATTAACATAGTATTTACATAAGCGCACAAGTTTCTAATAGAGAAATTATCACATAATATTTGTCTCACTACGTAAATTCAGTAAAGCACTTTTATTTTGAGAGAGATAAATGTATCCACACCACCTCAGGGCATATCTGATCAGCGGAGAAAATCACAGAAGTCATAGTGACTTCCAGGAAATGCAGTTGCTGTGAAAAAGTCAAGAGATCACAAACATATAGACCTTTTTAATATTTTACAATGAACAAGAAGTTACAAAGTATTATAATTTTTTTTTGTTTAAAAAAACACATTGATATCTACTTACCAAACTGCTCAGTTTTCTCTGTTTCAATAAGACTACGTACTTTATTTATCATTGCTGTAACTTCGTGAGTTGATATACAGTGCTTCAATGATACACTGAAAACACAAAATAGAAAAGTTACAAAAGCAGGCAATACAGTTGGTGTATTGCGTAAATATTCGACAATCTACACAACAAGTTTTGTAAAATGCAATATGGTTACCATTTGAAAAACGAAAATGTATCATACTGCAACACAGATTATTCTGCAACACAGAGTCATTTGCACGCGACCCCATTTTTCTAGTCTCTTTATTGTGATTAGACATGCCAAGTTGACAGACAGCGGATTAAAAGTCCAAATTGTGTGCGACAATGAACTTCAGGACGAAGCTCAAGGATTTTTATTATTTCTGGTTTATTTGTCACATTATAAGCAATAAATTATTTTTGTTTTACTTCTAATGTTGCATATTGTTCATTTATTTCCGTTGCACATTTTCATTCATCCATTCTATTCTCTGCAGCAGTTTGATCTGCGTGTTGTCAATTTTCGCGAATTTTTTGTGTTTTTTTCGCAGGGAGTTTTCAGGCATACGCCGACCCTTATTTGTTGGCAATTGTCAATGTTAAGGACCCTGGGCGCTTACCTGGACAACTACGGTATATCCAATATAAAGATTTTTAAAATTTGTATGTGTTAACAGATCATCAAGTTTAAATAAAGTTTATTATTATACATTTGTCACCGTAACGCTACAGCGTGTCAAAATTTTGCGGTATATTACGGGGTATTTTCATACTACCATATTAGGAAATGCGACTTCTCAATATGGAATGATTATGCGCGTAAGGGTCCTCTAATAGTAAAAACAAACATGGCTGCCACCAGGGTTTGACCGGACTCCACACAAAAAAGTTCGCTGATTCTGTTCTAAACACTTTGGATTTCAGCATTCCCATGATGTATCTTTGGAAGGAAAAGATGTATAATAAAAAGGTTATTACGAGGATACTTCAAAGTATGCACTCAGACAGTACATCACTGTCGTTGTGTGTCGGTCGATAATCCTGCTGTACTGTCTTCATGCATACTTTGAGGTATCCTCATAATAACTTCATATTATTATTATTATTATTAATACTTGCAATTCAGATACCATTCAATATTGAAGGTTATTCTGTGTATTCTATGTTGGTAATGTTACAAACACAAGTTATTATATCAGCTACTTACCATGTCAACACCGCTTCTACAGCTGATCTCACACTGGTGATGAAATCTTTAAGACCTTTAAATCATAAAAATAAATGCATATAGTGTGTAATAGCAAAAATGTTTTTGAACAATTATTTTTTTCAAAAATGATCTCATGTTTTTCTTTTTTTTTCTCTTGTAGAAAGGACGAATGACAACTATATTTTCTAATAAACAATAATTAAATTATTTTTTATTTACTGAGTTCAATTGGAAAATGCTGCAGTACTTTCATCTGTAACTTTGTTACGTATTAAAACATATTTATCATTTCTGCCATAGAGGGTATACTTTTATTGAATTTAATTGCAAATTGGGGGTTGGTGTTAAGGTTGGTGTATGACTTAGCCGACACATGCAATCACCAAATCATAATATTTGTATACTGTGGTGGGCCTCTGAAAAAATAAATAAATGAACTAACATGTTGACTTGCATGATTAATTATACATGAGCTTACCTTGCTCTAATAAATATTGAATGGTTGCCAGGTAACGCTGTTGTATTTCTGGTGGTAGCTTCTGGTCTGTTGACTGAAACTGTATAGAAAGGAAAGCTATTGTAACAGACACTATCAGTTTCTAACAGTACTCATATTTAAAACAAAAAGTACAACACTCAAATAATTTCCACAATAATATTGATGGTTAGTTAGAAATGAAATGAATGTAAAACTGATGATTTTCAACCCAAAGTATTATTGTTTTATTGCACAGTTAGTAGTGAGCACGGTTTCCAGTTAATCACAGCGAATTTCAATGCCCAAACATTATAAATACTTCTGTTGCAATTCTAGTTCTTGAATCGAATGACAAGGTGGTGATGCAACTCAAATAATGTCACAAATACTCCTAATGAGGTGGTATTGATGTATCTCAAACAAAGGTCGATGACAAAACGATGTCACTGGCTAGGAATACTGTGGAATACTTTATTTTCGCTGGAATTAATTTTCGCTGAAAAGGCTTTTTGGGCGTTTTGTGTGAAATTTATTTTCACTGATTTTTGATGAGTTTAATGTGAAATATAGGAAAAAAGTATATTCGCTGGATTTTATTTTCACGGAAACATCCCTTCAGCGAAAATAGCGAAAATAAATTTCAAGCGAAAATAAGTATTCTACAGTGCCTTAGATGAATTAACAGCAGTCAAATAATACCCGGTACATACAAAGCCATGGTGTGCTTCCGTGAAAAATCATTGTAACCAGAGTAATGTTGTATTATAGTAATTACCAGCATAACACAAAGTTTATAGTACAGCAGACATCCAGGGTATTTCCACTAATGTTAATCAAGCCTTTCTACTGTAATCATGCATGTTATGTGATGTTATTTTATTGAAGAATACCTACCATGTCTTGTGAGCTCATGCCATCTAGATACATGTATCCACCGATGATATTTAATTGTATTCTCAGTAAAACTACTAGCATACAGCTGCTGTACACAGCTACAATGGTTCTTGTGAAACCTACAAAAATAGCATAATTAATAGTGCAGCGCCCTCTTGTTGTGAGCATAGCGCCCTCATACTGCTATTTTGAACATATTAATTTTAAATGTTTTTGAGTTAATATATTCATCTACTAATGAAATTTGGAGTTTAATTGTGCAGAAATTATATCAATGTCAAAGCGTTAAAGATGCATTCATGTACATCTCAATCAGTGTTCAGTTTCTAATCCAGAATAATAAATTATTACAGGGGTACCAATAAAAAAAAAAATTCAAGCATTGACTTTGATGCCAATCAAGACCTTGATGAGTGGCATTACTTGTAGTTACCATACATCTATGAGGCAGCTAACAGTAGTTAACAGTCTGTTTAAAATCTCAGTTGTAGCACATTTACGAGTACAGAAAACAGCCAAGTGCAATTGCAGAACACTCAATAGACATTTGATACTGTAAAATGACTAATTTTCACTGGGTTTAAATTTCACTGATTTACCGTTTCAGGCATATTCAGTGGGTTTTAAATTCACGGTTTCGTCATTTAGATAATGTGTTCTATGCTAAATTTTACATATTTACTGTGTTTTAATTTAGCGCATTTTTCCAGTCAGCGAAATAAGCTAAATTAAAACCCAGTGAATAATTACCCCCTTTACAGTAATTGTTTGAACCTAATTCCGATGGGTAATACATGATACATGGAGGGGGTGGGTGCTTCGAGACTAAATATAAAAATTTTGCAAAATTGGGGGGGGGGGTGATCAAACATGTACACCACCACAGTTTAACATGGTACAAAAGCTACCTCTATAATTTCAATTATGTTCAAGTTCACATGCACTTAAGTCCACACCCCTTGAATCATCCTATTTTAGTTGATAGACGGGCGATATATGTGGGATATATTAATGACACATGGAAGACAAATAATACGTATAGACTTACTGATAATCTTCAATTCCTCCCAAATTTCCACTCTGTTTGTGGGTCTGAGAAAAGAAATTATCAAGTTACAATATATTGCAGTAATCAGTAAAATCCAAGCACAAGAACTGCTAGCTCTGAGTACAGTCCTGTAAGGTTGGTCTCCTTTCGCTGATTATTCGACCCCCAACGATCCTGAGAAGTCGTATAAACACCCGGCTACAAATTTATGGCAGCAAGCTTTTCATGTCGTTTTCATGATTGTAATCAGCCAAAAC